GTAGTTGTAGTAATTTATAGTTGTATTAATTTATAATTTTACTAATTAATATCCCAACCCATGATATACAAGCATTTCCATCCCCCATGTCCTCCTCAATAATTATCTCTTATCTTTAACAATTTAATCACAACCATTCTAATGTGTGAGAAACCAATACAGTGGTTTTATACAGCAAAGAAATAATCCAACAAGTGAGGAAACAACCTATGGAATAGGAGAATTTATTTGGAGGCTATTTATTGGACAATAGGTGAATATTCAAGTTATGTGGAACATACTAATAAGAGAATAAATAACTTTATTAAAAATGGACAAAGGACTTGAATAGACATTTCTCAAAAGAAGGCAATAGCCAACAAGTATGTGAAAAAAAAATGTTCATTTTCTTTCATCACCAGGGTAATTAATTTAAAATCACAATGAGCTATCACTTCTCACCTGTTAGAATTTGTCTTATTATAAACACAGAAGAAGTGATGATGAGTGTATAGAGAAGAGGGATACTGCTGAACACTGTTGGAGAAAATAGAAAAATGTACGGAGGTTTCCCCAAAATATTACAGTACTGCCATATGATCTAGCAATTTCCCTACTGTGTACATATCCAAATGAGCCAAATTCAATGTTCAAAATACGTGTCCAATCCCATTATCATGACAGTATTATTCACAATAAGCAAGGTGTACACTCAACCTAAGCATTCATCATCACAAACGTACATGAACCAGGAATAAGAAGACGGAAAACCTGTCATTACCTTCCACTTGGGTGAACATGTGTGGTCTTATGATAAGAGAAATGAGCCAGGCATAGAGGAACACATACTAGGTTAAATCTCCAATACTAAAACAAACTAACAAACCCCAAAATACCCACAAAAGTTATATTGTACGTCATGATGAGTATAGTTAATATCAATAAGTTATATACTTCAAAAAAATGGAAACCATCATACAGAATAGACAAAGCAATATTGACCAAGAAGATGATGCTGAAGGCATCACAATACCTGATCTCAAATTATACTACAGAGTTTTAGTAAGAAAAATAGCATAAAAGTAGCAAAAAACAGACATAAAGACCCACGGAATAGAATAGAAGATACATATATACAGGTTATCTGATACTTGAGAAAGGTGTCAAAACACATGTTTAAAAGATTGCCTTTTTAATGTTCATTATTGTAAGCAGTTAGAGAAATATAAATCAAAACCACTCTAAGATTTCATCTCACTCCAGTCAGAACAGTAACTATTATGCATACAAACAACAGTAAGTGTTGGCAAAGATGTGGAGAAAAGGCACACTCATACACAACTCGTGGACTGCAAGCTGGTACAGCCAATATGGAAAGTAGTATGGAGATTTCTTGGAAAATTAGGAATGGAATCACCATTTAACCCAGTTATCCCTCTCATAGATCTATACACAAAGGACTTAAAAACAGCATACTACAGGGATACAGCCACATCAATGTTTATAGTAGCACAGTTCACAATAGCTAAACTGTGGAACCAACTTAGATGCCCTTCAGTAGATGAATGGATAAAAACAATGTGGCATATATACACAATGGAATATTACTCAGCAATAAAAGAGAATAAAATCATGACATTTTCAGGTAGATGGGTGTAGTTAGAGAAGATAATGCTAAGTGAAGTTAGCCAATCTAAAATAACCAAATGCCGAATGTTTTCTCTGATATAAGGAGGTGGATTTATAATGGGATAGGAAGAGGGAGCATAGGAGGAATAGATGAACTCTAGGCAGAGGGGTTGGAGGGGAAGGGAGGGGGCATCGGGTTAGAAATGATGGTGGAAAGTGATGATCATTATTATCCAAAGGACATGTTTAAAGACATGAATTAGTGTGAATATACTTTGTATACAACCAGAGATATGAAAAATTGTGCTCTATATGTGTAATAAGAATTGTAATGCATTCTGCTATCATATATAAATTTTTTAAAAAGATAGCCTTTTTAAAATATGGTGCTAGGAACTTGGATATGCATATGTAGAAGAATGGAACCAGATCCCTATCTTTCACCTTGCACAAAAGTAACATCAAAGTAACAAAAGACCTAGGTATTAGACAAGAAACTCTGCAACTACTGGAAGAAAACATAGGGTCAACATTCCAACATAATGCCACAGGCATTGACCATCCCGGGCAAGACCCCTAGAACCCAAGAAATAAAACTAGGAATGATTAAGTGGAATGGCATCAAGTTAAAAAGTTTTTTGCTCAGCTAAGGAAACAATTAGGAGTGTGAAGAAATAGCCTACATAGAGGATAAACTCTTTGCCAGGATTTCTCTGACTAGGGATTAATAACTTGAATATATAAAGAATTCAAACAACTTAACACCAAAAAATACACCATAAACTAATTAAAATTGGCAAAAGAACAGACACATCACAAAATAAGAAAGACAAATGACCAAAAAAAAAATGTGTGCAAAGATGTTCAATATCCCTAGCAGTCAGGAAAATACAAATGAAAACTACACAGATTGCATGCCATTCCAGTTAGACTGGCAGTCACCCAAAACATAAATAATAACAAAGGCTGGCAAAGATTTGTAGAAAAAGTACACTCACACATTGTTGGTGGGGCTGGAAATTAGTACAGCCACTCTGGAAAGCAGTATGGAGATTCCTCACACAACTGGGAATGAAACAACATACCCAGCTGTTTCAAACTTTGGCATATATCCCAAAGATCCTAAAATCAGCAAACTATAGGGACACAGCCACATCAGTGTTTAGAGCATCACAATTCCCAGTAACCAAGTTATGGAGCCAGTCCAGGTAGCTACCCACAGATGGGTGGATAAAGAAATTGCAGTATACATACACAATGGCGTTCTAATCAGCCCTGAAGAATAATGAAATTATGACATTTGTTGGTAAGTGGATGGAAATGGAGAACATCATGGTAAGTAAAGTAAGCCAGGCTCAGACAATCAATGTTGAATGCTTTCTTTCATATGTGGAAGTTAGAATACGATAAAGAAAAAAGGGGAATCCCATAAAAATAGAAAGATCAGTGGAGTAGAGGAAGGGCTTTGAGAGGGAGAGAGGAAGGATGGGAAAAGGGAGGAAGTGGAATAAAATTGACCATGTTATGCTGTGTGTGTGTGTGTGTGTGTGTGTG